ACACACACACACACACATCCATAACAAACACACACACACACGGGCAACGCCCCCATTCATTACTTTACGTTGTTAGAAACAAATTCGTCCAAGAACAATTAGCAGCCGTACCCTCCACCCCGCCCCGTCGGGTCACAGGCGAGCCAGGTGTAGATCTAGTTTATTTGAGTAAAGAGAAGCACATTGGTACAATTATGGTACTTAAATTAACTGCAGGGAAAAAGTAAGACAGATATACACAACAGAGGGAAAGACAGGAGGTAAGATCTAACATCGGCGGTCATTTGTCGACATTCTGAGACGAGGAGGAGGAGAAGGAGGAGGAGGAGAAGGAGGAGGAGGAGAAGGAGGAGGAGGGCGACGACGAAGAGAAAGACAGAAGAAAATCAAACACAACAACAAAAAACCGAACAAAAATAATATCAACAACAATAACCTCAACACCAAATGCGAAAAAGCAACAGTGACAGTAACAACAGCGCCTCACTCACCGCGACCATCATCACCACGACAAGCAGCAGAACCAACAACAACAACAACAACAGCCATACCAGTAACAAAAGCACTTTCTTCTTTTGGTTTTACAAAGAGTATTACGGCACTTGCAACACAACAAGGCCATATATTAAAAATAATAAGTGCCGAAGATTAGGGGAGTTACAAGACAGTAACAAACACAAAAAGGAGGAGATACAAGGGCGACAGAATATGTCTGACAGGAAAGAAGGCACAAACCACACCATAGCAACCACCAACAACCCACAATAAGCTTTCTTCGTGAATGGACCTCCTTGATAAGACACAGGAAGGCTAAGCAGACATTCATCCGAGTTTCCCTGGCGTTATGACGCGCAGATGACAAACGACACTGGCTTAGCCTGGACGCCTGAGGCCGTGAACGCGCTAACCAGCTGACCGTAGCCTTGAGCTCTGGAGACGTGGATATCAAGTGGTATAAAAATGAATGAAGAAAAGCAGGAAGGACAAAAGCGAAAAAGAAAGGAAGAAATGAAGGAAAGACGAACGAAAGGGAAAACGAAGGGGAAACGAAAGGAATACAGGAAGGAAAGACGGACGAACGAGAAAAGGAAAGGAAGAAAGGAAGGAAAGACGGACGAAAGGGAAAACGAAAAGGAAACGAAAGGAAGAAAGGAAGGAAAGACGGACGAAAGAGAAAAGGAAAGGAAGAAAGGAAGGAAATACGGACCAGTAACATTATTAGTTAACAATTAAGAATAGCAACACGTCAAGGGAACTTAGATGAAATCTGAAGAAAGAAATGAAGCATGAAAAGAAAGATAAAAAGGGAGGAGGGAAGGGAGAAAGGAAGGAAGGTAGAAATGAAGGAGAGAAAGGATAAAGGAAAGACACATAACTCTCCATCTTTACCTCTGTCCGTCATGAGTGAGGAGGATCACATCGTCACGATGACGTTCATTTAGCGCATACTGTGTAAGTTCAAAGTAGCACACCCTCCAACCACCCGCCTCCTAAATGAGTGAAATGTTCTCGAAAGTGGCGTAAAACATCCACCATCATTGGAAACGTCCCATGAACTGTTTCGAAAAAAGGGCAAAACGGTTACCATCATTCATTACCTCTCTTTCTTTCTTTCTTTCTTACTTTTCTTTCTTTCTCTTCTTTTTTCTCTCTTTCTTTTTTTCTTTCTTTCTTTCCTTTTCTTTCATCCATTCTTTTCTTTTCTTTCATTCTTTCTCTCTTTCTACGCGATGTTCGCCAAAATCTCTACTCACACCAAAATCGCCCCACCTCTTATGTTTGAATAACCTATACCGTCTCGAAAAGGGCGTAAAATGTTGACCATGTCTCTCTCCCAGGTCCACTGTACTGGCACGAACTGTTCCCCCACGCCTGCTCGGGTCTCCAGCAGTCCCCCATTGACCTCAAGTCGGAGGAAACCGTCTACAACCCAAACCTCAAGGACTTCGCTATCTGGTACGACCCACCAAAACCAGACTCAAAGATGTACATCAAGAATAACGGACACACAGGTAAACACGGTGTCTGAATATCTGTTTATCTGTCTGTCTGTCTGTCTGTCTGTCTGTCTGTCTGTCTGTCTGTCTGTCTGTCTGTCTGTCTGTCTGTCTGTCT